GGGGGGGTATATTGTGAAATTCCCGCCACCCATCTGTTCAAGTTCCCCCGAAATAAGTTACCCTTGGTCTAACTCTGCCTCGCTTGCCTTCAATGAAATGCATACTTTATTGAACAATGTATTCCCCAACAGAGATCCGTGAAGCGGGAGGGAAACAACACCCCCGAGCGCTCACTCTCCAAGAAACGTCTCCGGAAGTTCGTCTACAGGCGGAAGTGGCAGGTACGCCATCTTGGAAAACGGCACAGATTTATTTTTATTTAATTTTTATAATTTATTTATTTATTTATTTATTTATTTACTTATTTATTTATTTGTTATCTATTTATTTATTTGTTTTTGTCTAAGAACAAACAGATAGGCCTCTTAAATAAACTAATACTAATGAATGTAGTGTTGACAGAGGCCTTAACCACACACACTTACTTAGGCTCAAATATTTTATTAAACTGAACTTTTTGGTGTGGTCTGCCCTTTTTTCCCCTATCAAACATCTACATGTATCGTCCTCATCTCCCCTCCTTCTTTGTTGCATTTCTTACTCTTGAAACACCTCGAATCTTCGGCATTATATGACCTAATTGATTGTGTTGCAAGTGCTGTTAAACGCTTACTAAAGCGTGAAACGAAACTCTTTTGTCCGATTCAACTATAAACTTGTTATTGACAAGTGAATGAAACAGCTGGAACTCTCACCAAACTACATGTCGTTCACTCCATTGTCTCTCTAATTTCACAGAAAGCTATCAACGCCATGTTGGCCCTGAGACGTATGGGCGTCACGTTGTCATAGTAACCGAGACGTCACACGCACGCATGCGCTGCGTATACAAGGTATGTGCGCTTTCTAAAGAAACATTGTAGTAAATTGTAGAAACAAAAGGGCTTCCGAAAAAGAAGATGAAAATAAACATGATCACTGAATTAGCGCTTTTTTATGGATAGGCGAGACGAGATAAGATGAGATAAGAAAAGACGAGACGAGACTAGCCGAGATAAGATAAAATGAGATGAGTTTACATGAGATGAGGTGAGATAGGATGGGATTGGATGGAATGGGATGGGATGGAATGGGATGAGATGAGATAAAACACATTATTTTCTGTGTAGACATTTTTTAATAGATTATGTATCTGTATAAAACGTTCTTGTGGCGACAAGAAATAAAACATCGTCCGTCTTATGAGATCACGTTATATTTGGAGTGTGCAGGACACTGTATTGCTGAATGTAAGTTTAAAAACATTCCAAATTCCGAACTGATTGATTTTCTATTATGTCTTCGTTCCCACCCCACCCTTCACCCCCTCTCCATGCCCTCTCCCTTCCTTCTCCCTCCCTCCACTTCCCCACCATTCACCCACTCTCCATCCTCTCTCCCTCAATTTCCCCACCCTTCACCTCCTCTCCCTCCCCCACCTCCCCTCCCCTCTTCCTCCAACACATCTCTCCCTCCCCCCGCCATCCTCCTCCCCTTCCCCTCCCCTCCCCTCCCCATCGCCCTCCCTCTGCCCCTCCTCACCCACCCTCCCTCCCTCCAGGTGCACGAGTGACCACTGTCCAGCATCATCGTGATTCCAAAGGAAGGGACCTGCCTCACGTCGCCCTCCCCACGACGGGACCGACAGCAAGCCACGACCACGCGGGAACTTGTCCCTACACCCTCTCACAGCGACCTTCACCTTCCCCATCAGTGACCGTCAACTTCCCCTCACATCGACCTTCACCTTCCCCATCAGTGACCTTCAACTCCTCACACAACAACCTTCACCTTCCCCATTAATGACCTCCAACCCAACCCCCCCCCACCCCTAC